GTGTTTCTCTTTCACTGAACTTCCCTGTTTCCAAACAAGGCGTCCCTCTCCAGGGACCAGTTGCTCCCGCGATGGCACTCATAGTGCACAATAGAAATCTTGCCAGTCTTGATTTGAAGACACCTTTGGGCCGTATTTCTTACAAAATAGATTTGTTTGTTCTTCTGGCGGTCCATGGTACTCTCATAATCGTCACAAGCACCATAATTCCAGTACATCAGCTTTTCCACAGTCTTCCTTATTCATTTTTCGTCTTTGACATGACGATGAGGCAACTGAAAGTTTCATGACTTGGGTCAGGCACACTTTAGTCCTCAAAATGACATCTTTGCTAATTATCACTGTAAAGAGGTATTGTGCAGCAGATGCGCCCTATGCAACATATGGTTTGATTGTGTGACTGCTACCACATGAGCATTGATTGTGGATCTGAGTAAATCCAGGGCGATTTCGGTCTTTCTCTCTTCTATTATGCTAGTCTACTGGTCTAGTTGTGAGGACCTGAGATTTCTTTATCTTGAACTGTATTTCATGCTACAGGCCACAAAGTTTCACTTTCATCAGAAAATGCTCCCAAGCCTCCTGACACTCAGCAAGCAAGGTTATGTTCTATGTAGATCACGAACGAGCTCTTCATAAGGATATGAGGATTTTTGTCTTCTTTACATAATGAAAGGTGGTTTTCTTTACTTTGATGTTGTAGAAGACAGTAAGTGCTTTGATCATCAGTAAGTGCTCCAAGCACTCTTGATTATCAAAAAACAAGTTCTGTCACATGCACATTGCAGGTTGTTAATGAAAACCTTTCTCCAATCGTAACGCCAGGCTCTTCTTCATCTAGTCCAGCTCCTCAGATTATTTGCTGAGCATACAGAGTAAATAAGTATGCTGAAAAGGCACAGCACTACACACAGGATTCTTGATTTTAAACAATGCAAAGTGCCCTTGCTCTTTCAAACAATTGCTACTTGGTCTGTGTATAGGTTCTACATGAGCACAATTAAATGTTCTAGAATTTGCTTTTTTGTAATTTTTTT